GCCAGAACTGTGTGAAAACGCATTTGCAACCTGAAAATTAGGAATTAATGAAGGTTAAAAAATTAATGAAATTTAGATGACATTACTTAAATAGATCATAACTCTATCAAAAATGTTTTAGCTAGTTGAGTCTGTTTAGACATGATTAATTGATTAAATTAGCTTACTTGTAGAAATGTGGCTTTCATGTTTCCTGCTGAAATGTAGGTCATCAGACTTAAAGAAAAGCACTTGGGGGTCTTTGTTTCTTTCTAATTGTGGTAAATGGATGTGCATACCAAATTCCAGCTTTTTCTTATGCATTCGGAAACACATAGCTCTGAATTTCAAGACTCATGAATATTTATGACAGTGCCTTAGAAATGCATTTATGCACTGTATTGATAAATCTATTTATAGGAGAGTGTTTTATATCCCCTTCGAGTACCAGTTCCCAAAGCGGTATACAATATACAACTGCAGCATTTGAATCGTAAAGCATCACATAACCATTTATTTTGGTCTTTATTTAAAAGACAATAAAAGTAAAACCAATAAATAAAGAGCAGGGGAGGGCGAAAAGTCTGTTATCGAAAGAGGAAGAATTTAACAGAAAGGAAATTCACCACCTGCTTCCAGAAAAGAGGGAGCCACCAGGACTTTCCATGGGAGTACAGACTAATGAACCTTGGCATCTAACAGAAAAGGTCTTGAGCTTTGTGGAGGTCAACCTGGCCTGCTCATAAAATGGCATTTTCAACAAGGCCTTGATAGTAGACTTTAAATCTCATGGGAATGGGGCATGGTGTGTGTGTGTGTGTGTGTGTGTGTATGTGTGTGTGTGTGTGTGTGTGTGTGTGTGTGAGAGAGAGAGAGAGAGACCTTTCTTGTGATAATCAGGATAATCAAGAATACTTATTCATACGTCAAAACCGGCAGAGCCCAGAAACAGTTTGGCAGCCTGCACAGATTTTTCAAAGCAGAATAAGTACAACATCCTGCATTCTAAAGTTCCTGGCATTTACCTTCAAGGGCATGTCCACAATGGGTGTGTTAAAACAATCTACTCTGAAAATTATCAAATTGTGATAAGCAGTGGCCAAGATTCTGTGAACCTGTAGTAGAAATGGCTATCATCTCCGCTGCTTTAATCTGTTTTAGTATTTCAACTTTTGTATGTTTAAAACTAGAGTTGCACTTTCCCCCTCGATTTTATTGTCTTATCTTTTTTGTAAACTGCTTTGACTATTTTTTTGTTTTTTGTTTGCAATCAAGTCGTATATAATTTTTGTGAAATAAATAAATAAATATGAATTTTTCAGACTGGAGCCACTGCTTGGGATTATAGGGGTACTGCCTGGTCCAGAAATAGCCTAAGCTACAAACCTTTAGGGTAGGGATGTCATGGGAAATAGAGTGCATCTGTTCAAGTACTTGCAAGTCGCCAAGGTGAAGGGAGTCTTGAAGCTAGGGGATGAGGGCAATTCTGGAGAGGAGTCTGAATCAAGAATCTGAGTAATTGATTCCAGAGCCTGTCAGTCAAAATATCCCTGAACAGAGATCCTTACAGGCCAATACCCCAAAATCTGATATCTCAAGGAACTGACTACCTCTTTAACTGGTGTCCAATGCTCCCCATGACTGGTTCATCAGCAAAGGCAAGAAACCAGGATGGAGTTAATGAAGAGGAGACAGAGTACTAATATCCAGGCCTGCAATCTGGCTTTTTAAGCTCACTACTCTCCAGGAAAGAGGGACAGCATGGGCCAGGGAACGAAGAATAAGAGCTAATATAGATTAAAGAACTTGTAAGATCAGGTTGCTTTGTTGGAGCTCTCCAAGGTTCTGTAAACTGGACCTTACCTGCTGGGACTATATTACCCTTAGGTGACCTGGTGAAGGTCAGGCCAGAACATTCCTGCTTATAGCTTGGCAGAGCCCACTTACCCTGTTCAGTTCCGGGGGGGGGGGGGCTCACGGGACACAGCAAGGCTGAGATCTGAGTGATTAAATTGCTCCAATGAAAGCTAGAGGACAGCCAATGACTTTTAAGCCTCAGCCTCCAGTCCACCACTGCTGCAGTTTGCCCTCCTTGTTGGACAACTTCAGCCTGTTCAAGTACCACTACTGTAGTTTCAAGACACGTGCTTTGACTTCATTGAATGTTCCTTGTCCTATTAACAAAAGGAGGTACTCTGGGAAACACTTAGCTCCTCGTGGGTAAGGCACCCATGAGGGTCCAAACTTTGGTTCTATTGACCATGGTACCATAAGATCCAGTTCAGTAGCTTCTTGCCTACCAGGTTCACCAGCATCAGGTTCAAAGCCAGGAAATTGGTCCAGGTCCTGAGCCACTAGCCTTCAATTTGATGTCCTTGTAGATGATGGATTCTGGGGTCATGACACTACTCAGGTAAAGTGTCCCACCACAACCTTTGCATTTCTTGCCCCACCTCCCTTGTCCCAAGGTTCCCAACAAGCTTTTTTGGGACATGAGAAAGAAAATGCTGTGGTAGCAAAGATGGAAGCAGAAACTCCAACTCCTCAGCAGGGTCTCCTGTCCCACCAACTGGTACCCTCTTGGCACTCTCTCTTAGTGAGCAAAGACTCCAGAGGACCTGAAGCACCTACTGCAACATCCTCCCCTTTTTTTTTTGATGATATTGAGGAAGACAAGAGGAAAGGAAGGTGGTCATGATGAGTGCTTCAACAGGCAAATCTAAAAAAAATGTAGTATAAACACTGACAACTGGGAAACACGGACCTGCGAGTGCTCCAGTTGGAGCACAGCCTTTACCAAAGGTGTCATGGGCTTTGAAGACACTCAAACTCAGGACGCAAGGGAAATACGTGCTAAGAGGAAGGCATGCTTGGTAAATCCACACCATGATCAACTCCCAACCAATGTCCCCACTGTGGAAGGATGTGTGGATCCAGAAGTGGCCTCCACAGTCACTTACAGACTCATTGTTAAAACTGTGTTTATGGAAGACAATCTTACTTGGCTACGAGTGATCGCCAAAGAAGGAAGACAAGAGTCTGGGAGGATAAAGCAGTCCTATCCCCACCACCACCACCTCCAGACACACACTTTCACACATAGCTCAATACTGCAGCTTCCAATGGCTACATTTCTTTTTCTTCTTCCAGCTGTTGAAAAATTACATGCAACTGAGCATAATGGTTAGTTTGGCCCAGAGAAGTCTTCAATCAGATGTTAGATTTTCTTTATTGTTCAAAGTTTCTTTTCCAGCTCGCGCATGAGTGGAAAAGGAGACAGGACTTTCTGAAATATGTTTGTTTTTATCCCATTTTCCTTAACAATATTATTTGTTAATCCATTGTTCACAAACTGTTTCAGCCTTACTTACGTTTTTGTCTTGTTCTTATTGATTTGGCCTTAGAACATACGCGTTGCTGAGCTATTGCTTTTAGAATGGATTATGAATTGCTGCTCATTGATTTACTTTGTGCAGAATATCTTGGCCATCAAACATAGCAATTTAACATTCTGTCACACGAATATGGACTTTTATTTTATTTTCAAGCAGGATATTATTTCCTGATGGACTCCCTTTGTTCCCACAAAGAGCTGTACATTGTGTAAACTGGACAAAATGTGGTTTCACAATTTACTCTGTAAAATAATACTTATCTCTTCTCCTTCTCTAGTACCAATGGCTGCTAACCTCCTTTCCATCATGTTATATTTTAACTCTTAGGAATCTACAGGGTTTCAGTGTCAAAGCTGTGCTGCCACATAGAGGGAAGAACAAAGAATGCCTCTCTGTTTAATCTAACATATCTTCTGCCCCCCATTTTGCATGGATATTGATGGTGGGGGTGTATTAGGCCAAATGCTGGTCTAGCACTTTGTAGTTTATGGTTTATTTTTTACTTACCTAGAAAAATGGAAAGAAGTCATTTTTCTCTTAACTCTTTCTTCATCACGACTCTAGATATGCCACCCCATAATGGTCTATATATGTCATACCATAATATTTATATATATATATATATATTATGGTTCAGGTTACAAAATGAAAATTTAACACACACCCACACCAAAATTTAGATAGAAATGAGCACTGCAAGAAAAGGTTGCATATAATGTGCTAAAAGACACGGTGGAATTTGCAAAGCGATTCTGATGACTATACTGCAGCTTCTGTTAGGAGCAGGCAGTGCAAAGAGAGAACCACAAATCCAATCCCATGTTCCTATGGGCAAGGAGAAAAACATGAGGCTGTTTGGGTTTTTGAAAGCTAGTATTCTAAAGGTGCTTCATTGAAATGACACTTGGACTTTCTAGAGCCATCGGAAAATACCTAGTCGGAATGGTGAATACACATGACTAGTTCAGAGATGGAGGCGTGAACTTAAAGGCTCTGGAAACAGAGCTACAAATGTGTGTGTTTTGTCTCGGAGCTAGGAACTGGCTGTCACTTTTGACAAGATGTCTGCAAATCCGGGGCTGACTAGATGTGTCCCTGTGTCTTAAGTTGAAATATGGAAAGCGGCTTTCAGAATACTTTATATATATGTATTTTAAAAACAGTTGGAACGTCATCTCTGCACCTGGCCTGTGCAACCAGCGATAACAGATTGAAGGTGATAGAATGATGGGACTTGACACTAGAGAAGCCTAAAACACAAGAAGGAAAAGGTGTTGCCACAGAGAAAGGCCCTTGAATCAATTCTCCTACTTCCTTGATCTGCCTAGAGTTGCAGCCTGAGGACATCTACCCACTTTCCTAAATACAGATAAAGCCATGTCTATGTGCCTAAGCATATTGCTGGCCACTGATGTTCAGTTCAGCTGTCTTCCTGACTACTGTATTATTTTAGGAGGGAAAAGTGCTCCTGCCCCTGTAAACCATGGTTTGTGAAACTGGAAGGATCACCTGAATTGGTAAAAGCACAAGAGGAGTTGGCTGCTGCATCAGACCAATGGCCCACCCAGCATCCTGCTCTTATGGCGGCCAACTAGATGCTTGTGGGAAGCCCAGAAGAGGACCTAAGCGCAACAGGTGGCATAGCTCATTTGGTAGAACATAAGACTCTTAATCTCAGGGTCATGGGTTCAAGCCCTACGCTGGGCAAGATTTTATTCCCTTTGCATAGAGTTGGACTAGTCCCTTCCAACTCTACTACTCTACTTTATTATGTATTTCATTGAAACGACATAGGGGTGGGTGGGGGTTATATGGTTTTATATTCACGTTGTACGGCTAGTTTCCCTTTAAGTGTGGGGTGGTAAAGCATCTGCTTTGAATGCAGAAGATCTCAGTTTCAATCATCAGCCCCTCCAGAGAAACTTTGAAATCCAGGAGAGTAGCTGCCAGTCTGTGAAGTCTAGGGTTGCCATATTTCAAAAAAGTGAAAATCTGGACGCAAAAGTTGAGATTTTTAGGGGGCAAAGTTGTTGAGCTTTCCCTTTTGCTTTTGAGCTGTTTTTAAAGAAATTTGCCAAAATATCAACACTTCTGGTACACCTGGATTTTCCCGGACATTTTCACCGATTTCGAAGAATTCCACCTGGATGCAATTTTCAGCGGACGAATCCTGGCTATGTCCAGGAAATTCTGTATGTATGGCAGCCCTAGACTGAAGACAACATTGAGCTAGCTGGACCAATTGGTATAATGAAGCTTTCTATGTGCTTAACAGAGATCCAGGGAGGTATATTAGGTATAAGGACAGTCACTCCAGGAGCCACCACGCTTTGCCTGTCTGCACTTCACCCCATTGTGGTATCGCCCAGTGAGCATATGGAGCCCTCTTTCACTGCATCAGACTCTTGGTCCAGCTAGACAGCAAAGCTGTCTTTGACAGGCTTCAGGTTCATTCCCGAACCCCCCAATCCCAGGAACCCTCCGTTGAAACCTTTCATGGGTCCGTTTTCTTGTCCCCTGACATGGGTTGTGCAAACATAAATACCCAAACTAATTTGATGTGACTTGGATATACAGCAATCCAGGGGATGGGGTGGACACAACCCCAAGTGTCTCTAAAGCAACTCCCCGGCCGTATCTGATGCAAAACTGATACATAATGCACAAAAACACAGAACGGCTGAACATGCTGCTCCCTGTCACAAAGATTGAGTCAGCTTGCAACACATAGTGATTTTTCATCTCTGACACTATTGTGCAATTGCTGCATGGGATAAATATGAAATTAGTCACAGCAGATGGTCCCTGCCTATCTCCTGGTAGCTGGATTTCTCCACTAACTACATTTCAGACAAATAACCACCTGAAAGGTCATCATAATCAACATGTGGGAGCAAAGTAGCTGCCACGTTCCTCTCCAGGGGTGAGTGTGTGCTTCAGTGACTGCACATTGGCCAAGTTATAAAGCACCTGGGAAGCAGAGAATGAAAGGCAATTATAAATGACATATTCTCCACCTTTATGTGAAACGTGCCATTGGAAAATGATTGTATCTCCCTTTCATTTTGTAATAAGTCACATTCATGCTTGACATTCCACTACCGTTCTATTTATATCATTGCTGACAATAAATCATTAAGTCATCTGTGTTAACTAGTAATCCAGATACCTCATTTGTACCTATGAAACTTCAATATGCCAAGATGGTTTTTTATTTGCTAAGTTTCTTGCCAGGTAATCCTCAGGATCTGCATAAGACAAGGAGGAAGCTTAAGTAAGGATAAAACAGTTGGATCCACCTTAAGGGTTAATAATAATAATAATAATAATAATAATTTATTTATACCCCACCCATCTGGCTGGGTTTCCCCAGCCATTCTGGGCAGCTTCCAACAAAATATTAAAAATACAAATAAAACATCAGACATTAAAAACTTCCCTAAACAGGGCTGCCTTCAGATGTCTTCTAAAAGTCAGATAGTTGTTTATTTCCTTGACATCTGATGGGAGGGAGTTCCACAGGGGCCACTCGCACACTTAACAAACAAACAAACACAGAGTTATGATACCCTAGTATAAAATATACACATCAATTGTAGATGGTGCACATTACTATAGGGATAGGGAGCATGTTCCATCCAGATGTTGCTTGACTCCCAGGTAGTATCCATCAACCCTAGACAGAATGGCCAATGGTAATGGATAAGAGGAATTGTATTCCAACAACATCTGGAGGGGCCACAGGTTTCTAGACCTTGTATTAGGACATGCTTTGCAGCATGATCTCCCTTGGGAGGTTGTGGATGCTCCTACCTTTGAAGTTTCTAAGCAGAAGTTGGATGGCCATCTGTCATGGGTGCTTTAGCTGAGATTCCTGCATTTCAGGGAGTTGGACTAAAAGACCCTCAGGGTCCCTTCCAACTCTATGATTCTATTTCACAAATGAACAATAGTGGCATTTGGGAATATTTATTTACATATCACATCAAGAGTCAATGCCAATCTTCCTCTCTGACATGCACTTACACACAAACATACACACTCATCTTGTTCCACTTGCCAAAGGGAGATTTGGGTCGTGTTTCTGAAAGAATGCTATTCCCAGCATCATCACCAATGCCCAGTGCTGCGTGACAAATTGGGTCCTCCCTTAAAGAGGGTACGTGTTGCAGTGAGACCTGTCAACCAAACCCTGTGTTGTGGGTGGGTATGATTGGATAGCCACAACACCCGATTGGTAGGTCCCTCATTGCTGGGTTTAATCAGGCCAATGGGATGCAGGCTAAGTGAATCAAGGGACCTAGATATGCCTACGCACGTGTCCCAGAGCTTCCTCTTTCGGCGCGTGCATTCAGAACACCCGTCCACCTCTCCCTACTTTTAGGGCTTGTTGCGCTTGACCTTGCTATGTCGTTGTGTGCCATCTGTCGTTGGGACAGGGGCACGGCAGGAATTTTCCCCACTTGGCTGATTGGCTGTTGCCATTTGGGTTTCGCCTGCCATGTAGCAAATCATCACAACTAGTAAGGTGGCGGATAGGCTCTGGCTCAGGTGATAGGGATGGGAGAATGCTCTCGCCATCCCTATGTGAAGGGTATTCCGTTAAAGGAATCCAGGGACTCAGTGGTTTGGTCAACCCTGAGAGGGGGTTGTGCCTGTGCCTGAGTCTAGGGGGACATTTGGGTGGTGGAGTTAGCCCGTGCCCAGCTTTCCGCTTTTTCGGGTGTTCACCCTTGGCTGACCTATGCTGGTACCCTTGGTCATCGCTACCTGCATGGCAGGGAGCTAGTCAAACCACAGCCTATGCAACCAGTCACTTTCTGTAATCAATAAAGTTGTGGCCTACATTCTGCCAAAAACCAAACCAAAAATTTGAGTCATGTGTGAATTTATTTAGGGGGGAGGTTTCTGGGTCTGAACACACACACTCATCTTGTTCCACTTGCCAAAGGGAGATTTCGGTTGTGTTTCTGAAAGAATGCTATTCCCAGCATCATCACCAATGCCCAGTGCTGCGTGACAACATTCTGAAATGGAGCAGACCTTCAGGGATGTTTGCAGTATGGCATGGAGCAGCAATGGGAAACCTTAGTTCCTCCAGATTCTGCTGAACTACAATTCCTATCAGCCTCAGCAAGCCTGGCCAATGACCAGGGCTGATGGAAGTTGTAGTTCAGCAACATCCAGAGGGGCAAAGGTTCCCCACAGCTGGCACAGAGGTTTCCTTTTCAAGGGAAGAAAATGCAAAAAGTAGTGCTTTAGTTTTCAGTAGACATGCCTACCCAGCCTCCCGATTGCTGTATGAATTGTATTCCTCAAACACCTGTACTGCACTAATTTGAAAGCAAACAAGGTGTCTGGGTTGTATGTTTGTCAAAGACATGCTAGAAATGAATAACTGTATTATCACGGCAAGCTTTGCACTGCATGGAGTCACAGCATTCATGTGAGAGTCTATTTGCAAGAAAAAAGATTAGACACCCCTCAGCCATGTGCGTTAGGGAGCAAAACAATCATAGATGGTGCGAGCCATTCACAACTTTGCAATTCAGGTGCACTGGAAGGGAGTGTGCAGAACTGGAAAAGAACCGCAGGAACCTATTGATAAGGAGGTTTGGTGTATCGTTCTAGGAAAGAGAATGAGATTATTATGATTATTTTCAATAGCTCAGACAGAAGTTGGGGAGGGGGTAGTCAAAGCAAAGCTCCAACTGCGGCTGCCATTGTAAGCAACTGTGTGTTTTGTTCATTTACGCAGAAGTTGAAAGGCTCAAAAATCCACTAAATCCTGCAATTCACCCGCTACCATGCTATCCAGGCATCACAGAGAAACAAGAATGGAACATGCATACCACAATGGCATGGCTATGGTAGAACAAAATCTCCTGAAATCTCTTATTATGGAAAACTGGAATTGTCATTTGCCTCTCCTTAGCACGCCCTTCAAAACAGCAAATTGTTAAATGAAGGATGATAATGTCCATACCTTATATGCAATAATCTACCAAGCACTGTGCCGGCTGATGTCCATTCATATAGAACATTCCTTATCCTGCTCTACACAGTTTTTCCTATTATGCATAACTTGCTGAAGTTTGGCTTTGTTACCAGCTGTAGAAGTTCATAAAGCATTTTGACTAAAAGAACTTTATACTGCTGGTATCGGATGAAGCCTCTATAACACATTACTGCCTTTCAATCAGTGTTCCATCTTAACATGGTCCAGATTAATTTTTGCTTCACCTTATATTAGTTTGACTGTTATTTATAATATATCTGAATATATATAGCTACATCACCCATATTATCTGTCTATCTCCTGGACTTCGGGGAAGCATAGAAGTTTAAATAGCATTAAAGGGGGGGGGGAACCCACCACAGAGATATTTTGGGTGTGGTAGTCGAACTAAATGCTATAGCTGAGGATGCTGCACCATATAGCCATTCAAATGCTCTGAAGGACTCCCTCATCCTACATAAAACTGCCCACATATTACAGTCATTTTAAAAGCCTTTCCATAGATAAAAATTTCAGAGGTTTGATGGGCCACCCATCAAAGGAGAAGGGCTTTCTCTTGGGAGAGTTCTCACCAGAGTGCACAGTCTGATAAGTTTCAAGGCTAGGCAAAGACCTCTTCCTGCAGCATTTTATTATTATTATTATTATTATTATTATTATTAATACCCTGCCCTTCCCAGTTTAAAAA